AGTTAGTTAATGGCGGCTGGCTACCATACTAACGGGTATGGACATGAACATTTAGGGTTATGGGAAAGGTCAAAATATAAGCAAGTTTGGTTGCAGGGTATTTTGCTGAATATAAACATTAAATTCATCAAACACAAAGTCCTGTTGAGAGGATGATGATAGAGGTAGGAATGTATCATCGGATTCCAACCGTTGTGTACCTCTCAACGGGTAGCGCATGGAAGTCTATGTCTGCAGTATTTCTCATAGGATGCGGGTACTTTAAAGCCTTGATTCGAAAGCCTTTCGAAAGACTGTTAGTAAAGAAAAAGATTTAGGAGATGCTTAGTTTCATTCTCTGTCGGTATACTTAGTCTAAATTGAAATAATGCTTAGGCATACAGCTATTTTGAGATAGTTGAGATAATTTGAGATAGTCAACATCATAATTTCCATCACAGAAGGGCTTTTCGTAAAATTTCCAGGGGTGTTAATTTCTATTCCGCAAATGCGTCGAAAAGTACGTATGCAATACCTGTATCAGTCTTCATACTTTCAAGAAATGCAGTGGTACTTTTCGCATGACTTGCTGCTTCGTCTGAATGAATTTTCACTGTTTTAAAGTCATTGGAATAAAGAAATGAAATTTCTTGTGTAAATATTGAACGTAAAATGTTCTGTCGCTAGTACGCTGAGTTTAAAATTTTTTTTCACTCTTCTCATTTTTAATATTCCATTCCAAGGGAATCCTGAGTCAATCCCGCTGAACACTGGTAGTTCAGTCCAAAGTTCGATTCCCGCGAACGGGCTGGCTGCAGGGGCGTTTTCGTGGTTTTCCCCGTGTGTAACGTATATACGAGCCAGTTTCCATTAGAAAATCTTCCACGAAGGCATCCCCCTTTAGGCAGATAGCCCTCGTGTGCTTTGCCATAATTGAATAATCCAATCCAATCCTGAGTCAATCATAAACCCCTTACTGAAACTTTGCATTGATGGAGCCAGGTTTGTTTATTTTTTCTCTTCGTTTTCTGCAATAAATAGACCTTTTTTTTGTTGCAATCATATAGGTAAACTCATTCTTCATCAAGTATTACAATGTACTTCCATTTATCTCTTGCTAAATAGTTTTCATATAGGGTTCTGCAAATTGCTCTGCGTTGAGCTACATGCTTCGGTAAAAGCTGGTGAACATTATGGTGTTTAGCATTTTTAAGTTGTAAATCTTAGTTTATTATTTTTATATTGTTGTTACAAATGCATTTAAAGAATATGTGTGTGTGTGTGTGTGTGTAATTATGGCAAAGCCTCGAGGGCTATCTGCCTAAGAGGAGGGATGCCTTCGTGGAGGACTTTCTAAGGGAAACTGGCTCGTTATAACGACACACGGGAAAACCACGAAAACGCCATCCCGTTCGCCCACGACGAACTACCAGTGTTCAGCGACTTTACCGCTCGGCCGCTGGTGGGCTTTTAAAGAATATGCAATTTATATCTGCGTCGGCAGATTTCTCTAGTTACCAACGACGTAACTTTAGAAACATCAGAAACAATACGGACCTTTTTCGAGTTCCAAATAGAAGTAATGATTGATGATTTTTGCCTGTCCGAGTAATAACGTCGCTTCTTTTGTACTTAGAAATTTTAATACCATGCATTTTACAACGTTTTTGAATTATAGAATAGGAATATTTCTCTTCGGAAAGCACAAAAACACACTCTTCAATCCATAACTTGTTTATATGTAACATTTTGAAATAAAAATAAATTTAAAAGTAGCAGACGATATTTCTTATTTCAAATAAGATCTTGCTAAAATTTTTATTCTAAAACATATGCTTTTTTTAAACACAATATGTAAATGCTCTCTGCAGGTATGAAAGGTAATGCTTCGGTCTAAAAGTTAGATAACGGCGTTTCAGTGAATAAGCTCAAATTAACGTCTCCATTTTGACAATTTTACAATGATGCCTGTCTATGTGTCTGTATGTGTGTGATGATAGTTTTTTCACAGTAACTTTTATATCAGACTTCCACAATTCTTTTCGTATTTAAGCTTTGTACATTCATGTAAAGAGATGATTAGATTTTGGGTAAAACTGAACACTTCGAAGTGGTACTTAACTTGATACACATAACAATTTTTAATAATCCAAAACTTTTCAGTTTCAGTATTCAAGGCTTATATATCAAAGGAAAACACATACTAGATTTTGGCTAAAATTGATAAAAGGGAAGTGATAATTTATTTGAAACTCTGAACAAATTTTCATGAAAATATATATAATGATATAGCCCAAAAACTTTCATATTTGGTATTTAAAACTCGTATATGCATCTATACTGCATATATCACCATGAATGAGAACACTATATTAGATTCTGATTATATATAATAAACCAGAAGTGGTACTTTACTTGGAGTTTTAAAAGATTTCAGTGGAAAAATATAGAATAATTATAATAAGAGTTTAAGATAAATACTTTGAAAGGAATAGTATAATTTAATTTTCTGTTATGCTATTTCTATAGTATCAACATATCTAAATTCTTTTTCAGCTTAATGCAACCTATATTAAGGTTATTTCTATTATACGTAGATATGATACTTATTCATATCAAGCTGTAGAAGAGAATGCATTCTATAACAGCCATTCATTCGCAGAACTTCAAAACTTCTGTAATGCAGGCATGTTGCCAAAAAATGCACCTGCTATTCTCTAGCACTGTTGATGATGATGAGGCATGAAGCAAATAGCAAATTCAAAAACATTTATTGCTTTGCTTCTTTTTTGATCCCAGAACGCACGGAAGTAGCTATTCAATTGCAATTCCCAAAACTGGTAAAGATTGTTTACTGATATCTAAATATCGCAGTGTTATAACGTGGCAGCTCAAAATGAATTTAGATATGTTCATACTATAGAAATAGCATAACAGAAAATTACTAATGGTATTCGTTTCAAAGTATTTATCTTAAAAATATTATAAACACTTCTTAATTTTCTTTAATTAAAAATCAACTAAATTAAATATTATTCAACTGCCCAATGTGATGCAATTTTTAACAAAAAGAATTGATGGAGCAAACGTTTGATTATGTTCCTATAAATTGAACCAGTATTTACTCATGGTCAATAGTACTTAATAAAAAATAACCAGACTTTTGTATTGCAAAGCTTTCTATTGATTTGAACAGCAAATTAAATTTTGATTACAAGCAGTCAACCGAAAGTGATATTTTATTTAAAGGTCGTTGCTATTTAAAACATGGAACTGGTGGGAGATCATGTGCTGGCCACGTCAGACTTTTTTAACTTATAAAAGAAACCGATGCAAGTAGAGTAATTAAACGTGTTATCAATTGTTTCTTTACCTACTTTAAAAGGAACTTTCTGAATTTCAGGTAGAGTTTTCATACTCTCGCCTTGATTAAGTTGAGGTTTTCGTATCAACATTTTAGAAGTATCCTTCCAATGGTTATTCTAAATGTATTTAAAACAGTACTGGGTATTTGTTATATTGATCAAATAATAATTAATAACATTATTCATAAAAGTTATGAAAGGTTTTGTGCAAATGATAATTACAAAGGATAATTTGACTCTTGAACAACAAATAAGTATTAATATAATTTATAAAGTCGACAAATGTTTTTGAAGTTTCTGAGTTAATGCCTTTGCATTACAAAAATAAGTACAATAAACCAGACAAAAAAAGAAGGGGAAAGAAAAAATGGGAAAGGAGGACAATTTTATATCTTCTGGCTCAAACTGGCCAATTAACAATCCTTAAACTGCATTTTCAATATTTCAAAAACGCAACTTAGAATACATGCTAGATTTATATATGTAACACGAATGTTTTGATAACGAATCAAAGTTTTCTCAAAATAATATGCCGATTTATTTTTCATATTTCGAATCTACACCTCCAATTATGCAAAAATAAGAAATTTTATAAAAAATCTCACAGGTCATTTACGAGATATTTGTTTTTAAATCTTGGCCTTCATTTTAAAATTGAGACTGCAAACAATTTCGCTTGGCGAATTTCTAAACTACATTAAACGTGACATTTTTTTTTGTACCTTCAATGAACTACCTAGTGCTAAAAATCTTTCAGACTTTTAAAATTCGGCTTACTACAGTCCTGTATGTTAAACATACTCTACATAATTAATACGTGATTAAAGCATGTCAGTAGGAGAGAAAAAAAGTGTAAATACTCATGAAAAGTGTATTTTAAATACGCTCGGATAGCTATCATTCTTCAAAGTTTATTTTAGTTATATCTGAAATTTTGGTTCAGTAATAATTACCATCGTAGCTTTTATTTATATGTTATTTAAAATAATCCAAAACCATATGTAATAAAAGTCGACAGTGAATATATGTGTATATCACAATGATCATCTCCTCAAAAGACCACCTCTGATAGAGACTAGTAATTCAGGAAAAAAATAATTAAAAATATTTTAAATCTAAAAATTTAAAAAAAGCCAAAACTTGAAAACTTCGTCTTTTTGAAACATTTATAGAAAATATTTAAAATTAAGAATTAAAAAAAATCTAAATTTTATTTGGATTAGACGTAAATTTTAGGTTATAAAAGAAGAACGCAAGGAAATTCGATTATAAAAAGATGCTATTAATTATATACTAAATTAATTGACATTAACGAACGTAAATATTGAGTGCTAATTTTAAAAACTATTCATGCATTTTTTTAAATGCACTTTTTATCATTTTTGATGTAATTTGAAGAGTAGAATTGTAATATGGAAAAATTAGCATATTATTTCAGAAAAATCTCATTTTGTGTCAAAATGCATCTGTTAGAATTGTGCTATATAATTCTAATATATATCTAATTCATGCTTTTGTTATCATGGAAAACGCAAGTTTAATATCGTCGGTCGGTGGAATAAAACGGAAGATACAGAATTGTCCTGTTTTTTGGACTCATTGTACACAATTTACAATAGTATTAACTTTTTAACGACGAAATAAATTAAAAGTTACCTGGACTTCTGATTGGAATGAGCTGGCTTAGAAGCAAAGACGGTATCATTGTCAAGAGAGAGCCCAGCCATACCATTAGAATGACCTTGTAAGCATGTGAAATTGTTTGCCATTGACGAGAATGCAAGGGTCTGCAGATAGCGAAGTATCTCTCCAGCGAAATGGATACTAATGTCCACACACCAACTGATACTGATACACCTGTAAGATAAAGAATTTATCATAACCAACAAATTATGCAGAATTCTATGAATTGCTTACAGCATTTGCATACCAATGCAGAGCTTAAGAAAAATATTATCAGGAGAACTTAGCTCTCACTTATGTCAGAATAGAAAAAATAGAAGGAAACAATATGTTCTAATAGAAAATAGAAATTTTTATAATTAAAGGTTTTTAACTTTTGTCATAAGAATGTAGTTAATATTTTTGGATATTTGCTTAAACATGTAATTTAGAAAATAATACGGTTTGGTGAGCAGGTAGGTTATTTTACGATAACTAATTTCTAATGCAGTGTGCCCAAGACTTTCTTGTTTGACCTATATTGCCTTTCTGTCAAACATAGCTCAGATGCTATCCCGTAAATAAAAGTAACTTTTAGAACTATGGGTGACATTTCATAAATTATTAGATGGCTTAATGAACTCTTTCCTACTGAATGTCTTTTAAGTGAAATGACAGCTCGACAGCTAGCTGGTTAAAAATTGATGTTGAATGGGAAGAAACTATGAAAAGACTAAGACAGGACACAAAAGTGATAATTTGGCAAAGTACTGAAGCAAAGACTTATATGAAAAGAGTTATTTTTAACTGAACCAGCATGCGTAGCTGAATAGAAATATAGAGAAATAGTATGATTTTTAATATAGTAAATACTCAGAAAATTAGTTTTAAGGTGGGACGAAAGTTTTTAAATATTCACAGAGGAAATCCTGTATTTTTTTTAATGCATTCACTCTGCGAAAAATGTTCTGTTTATATTTTTCAGTCTTTAAAAACTCAAATATTATAAAATACGTATCAATTGAGGGGAAAAATAGCATTAAAATATTTTTTACTGACTGGTTACTGAAGAGTGAATAAAAGTAATTAGAGTGCTTTTGCACCTCCAAAAAATCGCACGGTGTGAAGAGACTATTGTGCATTTCCTTCTTTGCAGTGCCTAGTTTTTTTCCTATGGATAGGAACATGACAGTAAACTCATGTGAGGGTGACACAAATTGATTTCAATGAATTTCAAAAAATATTTGTTTTCATGTTGACATTATTTTTAGAAATTTCGTTGGAATAACATCATACAAATTTCCTATTGTAACAAAACTGTATAAATAAGTAATAAACGTAATCTGAATGACCAGTTTATTTATAAATGTTAACTGGATAACACTTCTGAACTATCTTTGTGTTTAGCGATTAATTAATGATATCCCTGAAACAACTGAATTTGTTTTCGTAGAAATAGGAAATAGGTAATAGCTATAAAACCATTGAATTAAAAATTTTACATATGTTTTGAAGAGAGGAGGGGAAAAATGTACGATTTTTTTCTTAGAAAATTCTCAGCCGCTGAAAAAATATTTTTTCTTATTAAAGTTTTAAAAATTCAGTTTTAAAATTGCGATACGCAATTAGTATAAACAAAATTTAAAAAAATCAGCAATAAAAATTGGTGGAAAATAAGTAAAACATGTACACTGGTTATCATAAATTAAGGAAAAATCACAAAAATAACGATATTTCCCTCAAAAATAAGCCAAACCGTGTAAAATTTGAATATTTTGCCAAGTAAGAGTAGCTGAGTAAAACTCCAATATGCAAATTAGTGGCGCTGCACTCGGAATACGCCATCTGCGAGGAGCATAAAAGTCCATGTTTGAGAGCAAGCTCACATATTTCACTGTGATAGTGACATCAGAAATTTGAGATAGCCGATTCGTAACAATGATCTCCAGTCATCATTTGCCTGCAGAACTACGACAGAAAGCCATTGGGAGACTAGAGGCAAGACAAAGTCAAACAGAAGTGGCCAGATGGCTAAATGGGAGTCCTTCTAATGGGATAATAATAGCCATCTTGTAAATGGGAGGCCAGATGGCTAAATGGTTCATAGACTTTGGAGGCAATTTCAAATCCCAGATTCGGCACCTAGGAGGTTCAGCTAAGGACGGCCAACTGTTACGACGAGCGCCGATGACCGATATTTGACATGCATGACATGTGCACTCATGTCCTGCATGTCATTTGACATGTGCACTCAGGAATAGAACCGCTACTCCGACTCTTCTTAGATCCTCCCTTGCTGCAGCCACCGGAAGGTTGTGTCAACGTCAACTGTGTGTAGAAGGCTTCACGAAGGTGGTCTGTTTGCGAGGCGAACAACCATTTGCATGCCGCTCAAGTCACGCCAGTGACGCCAGTGACCGTTTTCAGTGGGCACGACAACATGTCCACTGCACGTCTGAGCAATGGAGGGCTATTCTCTTTACGGATGAGTCCAGGTTTAGTCTAGAACGCAATAGTAGGCGTTATTTGATATGGAGAGAACCTGGAACCCGTTATCATCCGTCAAACATTCGTGAAAGAGATGCATACGGAAAAGGCAGTGTCTGTGTTTGGGGTGGCATCTCTTTGGGTGGACACACAGACCTCCATGTTTTTCCAAGGGGAACCGTGAATGCTCATGTTTATAGAGATGACATCCTTGATGCTTATGTGCGCCCATATGCCGGGCCAATAGGTGATGCTTTTCTGTTACAGGACGACAATGCAATACCACACAGGGCTCGCATCGTATATGATTATCTTCAACAGGAAATAATTATGCGCAGGGAGTAGGCAGCTCGATCTTCGGACTTAAATCCTATCGAGCACGTTTGGGATGCTTTAGGGAGACGTCTATCTGCTCTCAATCCGCCCCCTTAGACCCTTGCCGCGCTTACAACTGCTTTGCAAGAGCAATAGCTCTCGCTTCCTATGGAACTGATAGACCGCATAATTGAAAGCATCACACATCGCTGAGTGTGCTGTATTGCTTCTAGAGGCGATTATATTCCATATTTGAAGGTACGTTTACTATAGCAAACTGACATTTTCGATTTGTTCATTTTAAACATGTGATAATTTCTATACTACCATAATTGTCTGTTAATTTCTTTTTATGTTATTTGATACCTTACTATGTGTTGTATATTGTGGGTAAGTTTCATAAAATTCTACATGTAACTTTTTCAGTAATCGTGATTTTTGTGATTTTTCCTTAATTTATGATAATCAGTGTAGTATTTTATAGGACTGATGGTCAAACAATACTTTCGTTTTCAGCTGTAAGTGTACTTTCGCCTTGAGTACGCTGATGGAAATTGAAATTCCACCACCAAGAAGGAGATGTGTTAGATAAACGAAATTCGGCAGTTGTGTTTGCATATCTGAAAGTTGACGTCTTTTCAAATTTCGCGCTAGACGAATAAGTGTGGCGACAGTAGCGCCGCTATGAACAAGCAAATCACGTTAAATTTATATATGCAATGATCTTCGGGTGCTTTATCTCCCGGATTGGGCGTTGTGAGCTAGATTTGAGTCAAGAATACTTTTGAGGAAACGAGGAAGGCAACATCAGCAGCTTACTGACTCTGAATGAGGTCGTGTAATAGGGCTACGAGAAGGTAGATTTTCTTCACGATATTCCGGAAAGATTTGGCAGGGATGTATCCACTCTGCAGCAGTGGTCACAGATAGGTACTATCTCAACAAGTCAGAGTTCGGCCGCGTACCTGCCGCCACTCAAAGGCTTCCTTATTCGTCCAATGGCTGTGATGCATTACACTTCATCTGCAAGAGATATTCGAGTTCTTGTTTTCGCATCAGAGTGACACAGCGAATTGTAACAAATCGATTACTTGAAGGACAGCTCCGAGCCAGGCGCCCTGTAGCAGTCCTACCTCTAATTCCAAATCACCTCCATCTGTAACTTCGGTGGTGTCAAGCTAGAGCACATTAGAGGACCGGAGTGGAGATTTGTTGTGTTCGCAGATTGACAGCCGCTTTTGTCTTGGTGCCAGTATTGGCCGTATGTTGGTTAGAAGAAGGCCAGGTGAGCGCTTGGAACCAAGCTGTCTGCGTCGTAGACCCCCTACAGGAAGAGTTACGTCTTCCCTACAGGAAGAGTTACGTCTTCCTGTAGGGTCTGGAAGGTAGTAGAGGAAGAAGGACCTGTAGGGTCCGACAATACGGTCTGGAAAGCAATTTTCTTTGACAGCAGAAGCACACTTGTCAGTATCCCATACACCTTGAAAGCAAAATTTTACGTCAGACTGGTGATTGCACCCACTGGGTAGCCAGTCCTGCGTGATAAACCAAAGGACATTTTCCAACAGGATAACGCTCGTCCCCATATCGCTGCTATTGCTGCATATACTCTATAGAGTGTCAACATGTTGCCTTGGCCTGCGAGATCATCCGATCTTTTCCCATTGAGCAGTAATGGCACATGATTGGACGAAAAATACCGTGTCATCCACAATTAGAACGGATCTTTTCAGATTTGATGGACCAAGTGCAACAGGCATGGAATTTCATCCCACAAAGTGACATACGGCACCCGTACTACACTAAGCAAGAACGGTTGTATGCTTTCATGCAGCATAGGCGACTACAGCAGTCATTAATGTACTGCACTTTCACATTTGAACTGACGCAGTAGGACAAGTGAAAATTACTCTATTTAATTATTCAGTTTTACTTAGTACTAAGTACAAAGTTTGCCGGAAAATGGTCTTCAATCGTTGCTTCGAGCGAGGAAGACATTCTTTAATTTAATTATTTTATTAATCATCAGAATATTTTAAGTTTAAAAATAAAAACGAGATGCTAATTTTGAGTCTGAGAGATTGAGTTTAGGACATTCTGGAGTAATTAAGTAAGGCAACTTCATTACTTTTTAAAATAAAGAATTTTAATAAATATAAATAATTTGAAATTGTTTTAAGGAAATTCAAGTAAAGTAATTATAAATGTAAAAGGTTATAAGGCATTTCTCCCGCCTTCTTAGCATGCCTTCATGGTCAGCACACTCAGCGCGTATTCGAGAGGTCCGAGGTTCGAGTCCCGGCGAGGGCATTGCTCATTTTTCCTGTCTTCTTCTTCAAAATACCCAATGTTTTATGAAATATGTGTTAAAACAAAAGTATTTTTATGCATGC